CCAGCTCCTGCCAACCTAGCAGTTCGAAAGCAAGAAACTGCAAGTAGATAAATAGGTACCGCTTCGGTGGGAAGGTAACAGCATTCCGTGTGCCTTGGCATCTAGTCATGCCGGCCACACAACCACAGAAACGTCTCTGGACAGTGCTGGCTCTTTAGCTTGGAAACGGAGATGAGCACCGCATCCCTAGAGTTGTATTCGACTGGCTTTCGAGCAAGGGAAACCTTTACCTTTACCTATAAGCTTTTGAGAGTCTTATGAGGAAGGGAGGTTTGACTCTTGAAAGCTCATTCCCCCCCCCCAATTCTTGTTGGTCTCTGCGATGCTACCGGACTCGAATGTGGCTGTTCTACTGCTGACCAAAATGGTGCCCCTCGGAAACAAAAAGAAAGTCGATTGCTGCTGTCATTATTTCTTCTTCGACTTTGCCAGTGAGAGGGGTTGCAAGGTCCCCCCGACCACCAACGGGGGGTAGGTGGGTAGAGCTGCCAGATCCAGGTTGGGAAACTCCTGGAGCTTTGGGGATGGAGCCTGGGGAGGACACAGGGACCTCGGTGGGGTACAATGTCATAGAGTCGACCCTCCAAAACATCCATTTTCTCCAGTAGAAATTATCTCTGTAGGCTGGGATTCCCACCCGTGAGAACATAGGGACGTAAGAGAAGCCAATCTTGGATCAGGCCAGTGGCCCATCCAGTCCATCACTCTGTCACACAGTGGCCAAAAATACCAGGGGCCATCAGGAGGTCCACCAGTGGGGCCAGGACACTAGAAGCCCTCCCACTGTTGCCCCCCCCCCAAGCACCAGGAATACAGAGCATCCCTTGCCCCAGACTGAGACTTCCTATCTATGCCTTGTGGCTAACAGCCACCGATGGACCTCTGCTCCCTATGCTTATCATATAGATAGATAGCCTCCGACCACATTTCACTGGCACTGGCTTCTGCAAGAAGTTGTAAAGAGATGGCTTGTTTTCACTGGTGTAACATCACATAAAGGAGCTGCGGTGGCTCAAGTGGTTAAGACACTGATCTGCGGGCTGTGGGAGGTCGGTAGTTCAGCAGTTCGAGACCCGGGTGCCGCATGACGGAGTGAGCTCCCGTCTCTAGTTCCAGCTCCTGCCAACCTAGCAGTTCGGAAGCAAGAAATTGCAAGTAGATAAATAGGTACCACTTCGGTGGGAAGGTAACAGCGTTCCGTGCACCTTGGTGTTTAGTCATGCTGGCCACATGACCACGGAAATGTCTTCGGACAGCGTTGGCTCTTCGGCTTGGAAACGGAGATGAGCACCGCAACCCTAGAGTCGGACTCGACTGGCTTTCGAGCAAGGGAACCTTTACCTTTACCTAACATCACATAAATATTGAGGAATGCTCCTGGGGCTGGAAAACTGGTTGCCAATCCCCAGGTGGGTGACAAAAACTATACAGCCATGAACACTTACTAATTGATAATCAAATTGCTTCTTTATATAAATACGGTGTAGAGATTTTCGTAAAGAGTGCAACAACTAAAAGTCACATCACCTGCATGCCAATACCTGGTCCCAAAAGACGTCCAGCTCTCCTCAACCAGGGCCAGGGCCAACCTGGTGGAACTCTGCCTGATACCATCAGAGCCCTGCAGGATCTGATGCAATTCCACAGGGCCTGCAAGGCAGAGATACTTCACCAGGCTTTTGGATGAGGCCGGCAATGGCGCCCTATCACGGCTGGCACCCTCTTCCTCTCCTCCTCTCCTCCTCCCCCAATTCTGAACTGGTGTCCCCTCTCCCCCTGCCCAGGAAGTGGCCTGCAGTCCAGGACTGGGATGAAATGTTTAAGGATGCTGTTAGCCAAATTGCTTTATTAATATTAATAAATGTGGGGGAATTATGAGTATTATGAGCAGGGGTCATTTCGTAGAAAAAGAGCTAGGGGAACTCATTAGCATAACTCATTAGCATATGCCACACCCCCTGACATCACCGGAAGTGTGTCATAAGGCCACACACCCCGCCCCCAACGGTCTCGGCCGCCGCCGCCAGCCTTGCAGCTCCACTGCCGAGCCCCATGAGGGGCCCAGCGGTGGACCTGCAAGGTCGGCGGGAGTGCAAGGAAGCCCCGCGAAGGCCCTCCCTGGCCCCAGGCAGGCAGGGGTGGGGAGAGGCAGGGAGGAAGCAACTTACCCTCCCTCTTCTCCTGCCTCCTCCTGGCTGAATGAGGGCCGGAAGCGGGGCGGCCGGAAGCGGGGGGCGGGGCTTCGTCATGTACCCCGCCCCCCGTACCTCACCCGGGGGAACTGCGTTCCCCCGCGTTCCCCCCCGAAATGACCTCTGATTATGAGTATTAAATGGCAATAGGCATTAAATAACCTATGTATACGGGAGTCAGAGTTCCCAGGACCCAAGAATAGATGCAGAGACTGTAAGGCTAAAACAATAATCACTTTACTAGATGTTCTCAGGTATACAAATAATGTTCACACAAGCGTTCACACATACACTACAAAGCCAGGAATACAGATCTCTAGGAGATTTGCTACCAATTAGTAACTCTCATTGGTCAGATAAGGTGTATAATGCTTTCCTTGGTCCATTTCACGGGGGAAAACCCTTCAAGGCGACAGTAGTTTAAATCCTTTGAGAAGGCAGTGATTTTTCCTTGCCAATCCGCTGGCTGTCTTCTTTTACCAAAGACAAAATCACTTAGGAAGTTCCTCTTCTACAAAGGAGAATGACTTCATCCATGACTTATTTAAAAGCCTTCACCCAGTTCAGCACACAATGTTTCCATGCTATCTGTTGAAAGTCTCATTAGGAAACTGAGTCATCAAATGCCTGCAGTTACAGCTGATCTCCAGACGATACAGATCAGTTGGCCAGAGGAAAAAAGGATGCTTTGGAGACAGGGGTCATTTCGTAGAAAAAGAGGTGCAGGAGCTTATTAGCATAACTTATTAGCGTAACTTATTTGCATATGCCACACTACTTGACATCACCAGAAGCGTGTCAGAAGGCAACACCCACCGCTCAGGCTCCAGTGGACTGTTTTGGATTGCTAGCTATTGGGGGGGGACATGCAGATCTGTCCTCGCAGAGGAGGGAGAGCTTGTACCTGAATAAAACTTGGTCTTAAAGGTGCCACTGGACTATTTTGGACCGAGGCGGTGAGGGAGGGGCTCTGCAACTTACCTGGCTGCTTCTTGCTCTGACTGAGGGCTGCTGGGAGCAGGGGGCGTGGCTTGTTGCATGTGTTCGCCCCCCAGGCTTTTTACTGCCGGAGCTCCGCTCCTGTGCGCTCCTGCAGGAAATGACCCCTGTTTGGAGATAAGACTCTATATGGCATTACTAGGGTTGCCAACCTCCATGGGGCCTGGATATCCCCCGCTTTTGCAACTGATCTCCAGCTGACAGAGATCAGCTCCCCTGGAGAAAATGGCTGCTTTGAAGGGTGGACTCTATGGCATTGCCCCATGCTGAGGCCCCTCCCCTCCCCAAAGCCCGCCCTCTCCCAGATCCACCCCCAAAGTCTCCAGGTATTTTTCAACCCAGACCTGGCAACCCTAGGCATCGCACCTCACTGAGGTCTCTCTTTCCCCCAAGCCCTGCCCTCCCCAGGCTCCACCTCCAGGGCTTCCCCAACCTGGAGCTGGCAACCTTGGCTGCAGAGGTTTAGAAAGCCCACGAAACCTTGCTCAGCGGCTGCACTTGTCTATGAGTTCGCAGCTGAGTCAATCTAGGCCTTGGCATCTTCGTGGTGAAATTCTTTGTACTGGGGGGTTAAATTTGTAACCAGAAGGAACAAGAGGTGTTGCCAACCTCCATGCAGCACCCGGAGAGCTCCCACTGTTCCTATTGATCTCCAGACAACCAAGATAGTTTCCCCTGCAGAAATGGCTGCTTTGTGGAGTGGACTCTGGGGCAACATACCCCATTGAAGCCCCTCCCCTCCCCAAACCCCGCCCTAGCTCCACCCCCCCCCAAAAAATCTCCAGGTATTCCCTACCCCCGAGCTGGCAACTCTAGCCAATAAGGGCTATGCTGGGAAATGACTGTCATCTTTTTCTTTATAGATGCATGTGGGTGTGCCTATATAAAAGGTAAAGGTAAAGGTTCCCTTGCGCAAAAGCCAGTTGAGCCCGACTCTAGGGTTGTGGTGCTCATCTCCGTTTCAAAGCCGAAGAGCCAGCGCTGTCTGAAGATGTTCCGAAGACGTTTCCGTGGTCATATGGCCGGCATGACTAAACACCAAGGTGCACGGAACGCTGTTACCTTCCCACCAAAGTGGTACCTATTTATCTACTTGCAATTTCTTGCTTTTGAACTGCTAGGTTGGCAGGAGCTGGAACTAGAGACGGGAGCTCACTCTGTCATGCGGCACACTCGAGTCTCGAACTGCTAAACTACTGACCTTCCACAGCCTGCAGTTCAGCGTCTTAACCACTTGAGCAACCACAGCACACCACCTATATACACAAGCAGAAATAGATCCACAATTAGAAAAAACACCTTTAGACATTTATCTGCTATTGTGACATATTTATTGCTTTACAGCTGTTGACCTTATAACCCTAACTGGTTATTTAGTTTTTCACGTTGCATCACTTAAGTATCATCACGCTACATATCAATTTGCTGTTAAGTCCCTGTCTGTAAAGTTTAGAACCTCATCTGCCCTTCCAGTGTATTTGAAAAAGTGTGCCTTGCGCACCAAAGCTCATCCCTTGCATTGGATAAACCTTGTCTTAAAGGTGCTCGACTCATTTGTTCTACACACAGAGAGAGATCTATACAGAAAACTGCAGGGACGCGAGTCGGCTGCGAACGGCAACCTGAAGTGACCGTTGCCTACAACGCCCTCTACCTCCCGCTCGACACCCTCGGATCAGCACCTGCACCACCGCCACTGCCAATCCAATCGCTTTGCGCCCCGCCCCCCGTAACCGCTTCCGCTTCCGGTTTCGAAGCGTCTGTGGTGGGCCAATCGGATCCTTCTCCTCTCTTTCCCGGCGTGCCTCCGTCTCGTCTTTCTCGTCTGATTGGCTGCTCCTCCTGCCGTCTGTTCCCCTACGCGGGGTCGCGTTGATTCCGGCCGGTCTGCGGAGCCGCTTGCCTCGGGGGCCAGGTTGGACCGGGGTGGGTGGGTGCGAGGATGAGGAGGGGTGGCCCGCCCCCCATGGGGGGGGGACCTGGGGGGTGCCGTGTGATGGCGGCGGGGGAGGAAGCGGGAGGGCTCCCGCGCCGTTGCTATCGTGGTCGTGGCGTCCTTGGGCACGGCTTCGGTCTCCCCATTGGGAGGGAGCAGGCGGACACCCGTGTATTAAGGCCACCGCCCTTCTGATCGCAGCTCTCGGATCTTCACTGTTTTGCAGTAAAGGTAAAGGTTCCCTTGCTCGAAAGCCAGTCGAGTCCGACTCTAGGGTTGCGGTGCTCATCTCCGTTTCCAAGCCGAAGAGCCAGCGCTGTCCGAAGACGTTTCCGTGGTCATGTGGCCGGCATGACTAAACACCAAGGTGCACGGAACACTGTTACCTTCCCACCGAAGTGGTACCTATTTATCTACTTGCAATTTCTTGCTTTCAAACTGCTAGGTTGGCAGGAGCTGGAACTAGAGACGGGAGCTCACTCCGTCATGCGGCAACCCGGGTCTTGAACTGCTGAACTACCCCCACACCCTGCAGTTCAGCGTCTTAACCACTTGAGCCAGTAACACAGAGTAACGTGTAAAAAAGAGGCGAAACTCCTGCCCTGAGGAGTTTGCAATGGAACATTCTGCACAAGCAGGGTTGCCAACTCTGGCTGAGGGAATTCCTGGAGTTTTGGGGGTGCAGCCTGGGGAGCGTAGGGGAGGTCCTCAGCGAGACGTAACGCCCTCCAGCTTCCAAAGCTGCCCTTGCCTCCAGAGAGCCCGTTTACAGATTACAACAGATACTCATGCAGGAGAGGCCAGTCTAGATGTGCAAGGAGGGCCATAGTGAGGCTCTCACAACAGATCCCGGCCTGTCTTTACTCCAAAGTAAGCTGCATTTCTCCTGGACGTTAACTGATCTGCTCAGGACTGCAACCTTCCAGGCACGATCCTGTCTCTGTTTACTTTGAAAGGGCTCATTGGGATTTGCTCACAAAAGACTGTGTTTAAATGTGCAGCTCTAACGGCACTGATCCTTGGGAGAGAAAGGAGTGGGGCATGGGACTCATTCTCGATTTGGGGGGAGTTGGTGGGGTGTGTGTGTGAGTGAGTGAATAAGAGCCTCAAGTCTCTGAGACCAGCAAGGAGAGCTGAAGTAGCAAATCCAAATCCTCTCCTCTCCCATGCACCAAATAACATGGGGCGCAAACTCCCCAGAAGCAAGCTTCTTTGAACTGCCTGGCAGCTGCACCCTACCCTGCTGTTAGCTCCCATTTGTCTCAATTGGGGGTTGTGTTGGAGTGCTTCCCAGTGCCTTGTGGGCCGTATTTATCTCCCCTTTTGGATGCCCTTAATAATACCCAGCACTTGCTTTTGAGGACAGAGTCTTGCTCTGAGAAGAGGATAGAGAACTAAAGAGATGGACTTCTGAGATGTGGGATGACGTGATTCATTACTTGGGCAAGAGTTACAGTTCCGGGAGGTCTGGGTGAAGAAGCATTGGCTTTCTGGGTGGGGGAGACCGAGCTTGTTTGGGGTACTCATTTCCATTTTATTTTAAACCTTAGATGTGGTAGAGCTGAAGTCTGGAAGGCTATGGAAGAGTCTGGCGGCAGCATGGCCAGTGGCCAGGGCGGCACTGCCCAGAAGCAAGGGCCTGCGGCTGCGACCCCGACACGCAAGAGGCCACGGAGTGTGGTGGCCTGGCAGAGCAAGGCTGAGTGGGACCAGGTGATGGTGGGGCTGTATTGCGGGGACTGCCAGATGCAGGAGGATGCGCTGGACCGGGTGTCTGCATGGAAGAGCAGGTGAGGAGGCATGTGGGGAAGGTTGGGAGTGCGAGAAGAGAAGAGACTGGATTTATCCCTGCCCTTCACTACCCGAAGGAGTCTCAGGCTGCGGTCACTAGTGTTCCCTCTAAGCTGAGTTAGTATGAGCTAGCTCACAGTTTTTTTGCCTCCGGCTCACGCATTTTTGTCTTAACTCAGGAAGGATGGCTCCAGAGCCAACTAATTGATGCAGTAGCCAAATCACCTGCTCACAACTTTAATGCCAGTAGCTCACAAAGTAGGATTTTGGCTCATGGGACTCCACAGCTTAGAGGGAACATTGGCGGTCACATGCGCCAGTTGAAGTGGAGGGGAAGTAAGGTTATTCCCTCCAGAGGAATTTGACACACAGTTGCAAGATCACACCTCCCTTTGTAGCTGTGGGCGCAGCCCGTCACTGTAAGAACATAAGAACATAAGAGAAGCCAATGTTGGATCAGGCCAGTGGCCCATCTAGTCCATTACTCTGTGTCACACAGTGGCCAAAAATACCAGGTGCCATCAGGAGGTCCAGCAGTGGGGCCAGGACACTAGAAGCCCTCCCACTGTTGCCCCCCCAGCACCAAGAATACAGAGCATCACTTGCCCCAGACTGAGTGTTCCTATCTATGCCTTGTGGCTAATAGCCACCAATGGACCTCTGCTCCATATGCTTATCTAATTTCCTCTTGAAGCCGTCCATGCTTGTAGCTGCCACCACCTCCTGTGGCAGTGAATTCCATGTGTTAATCACTCTTTGGGTGAAGAAGTACTTCCTTTTATCTGTGTGATGAGACGCAACTGCGGGTGAGTCAGGGGTTTTGTGGCCTTTTGTTTCCTATGCGTATAAATGAGGAACTGCACCTTCACACTGAGGGCCCCCTATGGAGAATGCGATGATACACATACTGTGAAGGGGTGGGGGGAAAAACAGCACCGAGTCGGGATGGCCTGATCAGACCATCCTGATGGCTGGAGAGTGTGCTTAAGTGATCAGACGGGAAAATCCGTCCGTGGCCTGCAGCAACCCGTTTACTACTGGACTTTCCCCGGTGTCTTTTAACTCCGTTTCTGTGGCGGAGCAGCACGGGTTGCCGACAGCTGGGGGACGCTTCCCAGATGTTGCTGTCTGATCGCTCCCTTTAGATCCGTCAGGCATTCGCACCTATGTCGGATCTAAAGGCATGTGTGATCGCAGCCTCCGAGCAACTTACAATCTCCTTTCCCTTCCCCTCCCCACAACAGACAACCCTGTGAGGTAGGGGCGTCTGAGAGAGCTCTTTTGAGACCTTGCCTTGAGAGAACAGCTCTGAAAGAACTTGTAACTCACCCAGGGTCACACCAGCAGCTGCATGTGGAGGCGTGGGGAATCAAGCCCAGCTCTCCCAGATTAGAATCTGTTGGAGGGAAGTCCAGTAACTCAAGTCTAGCATCTAGATACCTTTCCCAGCTACTTTTGTGGTTGTCCTCCTTTATCAGACATAGAAGGCCACCTTGGGCATTTAGTGCTGAGTAAAGGACTTTATTCTATAGACTGTCCTCAAATATCAGAGGGCTTTTCTTTTGGCTAGGCTAAATGCTTTTCCGTCTGGTTTTCTTTGGTGGGTAGACGCTGAGGAGCACCCTGCTTGGAGAGATTATGTGCACGTGGGTCTGGGTCGATTGAGGCTAAAAAACGGTGAGCTAGCTCACACTAACTCAGCTTAGAGGGAACACTGACTAGGACCTGCTTCTATTGCCTTGGAGTCGCTGACAGGTGTGTTAGCATCATGAGCTGGTTGAGCATCAGCTAATTCAGGCTGACCCATGACATCTATCTAGAGATATAAAATTTCCGGAAATTTTGAAGCTCAGAAAAAAAACACGTTTTTTTTCCAGTTTTTGTTTTTTTTTTAAACCGGAAATTTTCGGAAAAATAAAAAAAATGTTACATTAGCATTTCTTTTGTCTTTTCTAGATTGAAAGTCATTCCGTTACTTTAGGAACATAAAATATGACTATGGACATTTTTACTTGGCATGAAATTATCACAACTAGCCTATTAAAAATATAGTGTATCCAAACAATTATTACAAACATTAGAAATGATTTGGAAAATATTTGAACACCTTGTCTTAAAATATTTTATTCATCATGTTAAAATAAAACGTTCCATAATCAATTTTTTTTCTTTTCTTTTTTCAATTTTTCGGAAAAAAACAAAAAAGGCTTCAGGAAAAAACCTTTTTTCCCCCAAAATTTTTCCAGTTTTTTTCCAGGCCTTCACATCTCTACATCTATTTCCCTGATAGGATACAGTCAAGTGAACTGAGCTCTGAAATCTCTTTGTCCATTTGTCACACACACACACACATGTCTTGCTCTGTCCCATCTAATCCATCTCTCATCTGCCTCCAAAGTGTTGGTTTTGTGCTGCAGATCTCTGGAACAGTAGTTTTCAAACACCCCTTGAGTTGCCCATCTTCTAAGAACATCTACCAGGGAAATCAGCAAAGATTTCTGGGGCCTGTCCCGGGGCACCGCCCTCCTTGGTTGCTGATCAGGCCTTTTGGCCCCTTCATCTCCCTGAAGAAGCGAAGAACATGGCCCAGAATGCAATCCACAGCAGGCCCGTAGCCAGGATGTTGTAATTCAGGGGGGGCTTCAAATAAATCGGGGGGGGGGGGGCACGCCCCCCCCATAAAAAATTAAAAACTCACTTGTGCAGCGTTTGCAGTCTGCTTGCCTACGTGAGGAAGCAAGCTGCGCTTGGGGAACGGGCGGCGGTGGGGAGTCCTCTAGGTGGCCCAGAGAGTTGGGGGGCCTGGGGGCTGCATGGAAGTCGGGGGGCCGGGCCCCGAAATGCCTCACTGTAGCTACGGGCCCGATGCACAGTCCCACATCTCTGGGATGAGGTCCGCTTGGGGTGGGCGTCGTGGATGCTTGTCGGTCGTTGCCGATCTTCTCCTTAAGGAGCCCCTCACAGTTTCCCAAGGAACCCGGGGTCACTGAGAGCCTAGTTTGAAATCTTGTGCTCTAGAAGGTAAATATATTTAGTTTGTTTCTCTGAAACATTTATTTGCCGCCCTTCTCCTTGGCAGAACTCAAAGCAGCTTGCAGTATAAATAAAATGTTATAAGAACACAGTAAAAACAACCACGATCAAACCCATAAGAAGTCACAATTTAAGAACTCCAGTTAGGACTGCCAACCATAAAAGTTAAATCAATAAAATGCAGTCCTGAATAAAACTTGTCGTCAGCTGCCTCCTGAAGATCGAAAGGGAGGGGGCCGGGGGCACCTCCCTGGGAAGGTTGTTCTGTGATCATGGGGCTACCACCGAAAAGGCCCTCTCTCTCTCGAGCCCACCAGACGAGCATCTTTTAAAAAAAAGTTTTTATTTTATTTTTAAACAGTAAAAAGAACAAAATGCAGTGAGAATAGTTATCAACAGTAGAATTAGATAAGGTAATAATAAATGTAGAAACTCTGTTCAGGTAAGTTTATATGTAATGAAAAACTTCATAGTACTTTTGAGGAACCTTGAACTGAGCAGAGTCAATGTTAAATATAAATTCTAGGAAAGGAAACCATTTTAATAGAAGGTTTGATTCCCTGTTAGTAGGGCTCTTTTTGTAGCAGGAACTCCTTTGCATATTAGGCCACACACCCCTAATGTAGCCAGTCCTCCAAGAGCTTACAGAGCTCATAACATCAGATATTTTATCCATTGCGTAATTGGTGGGACAGTCAGGAGGGCCACTCCCCGTGACTGGGCAGGTGCGCATGGTCCTTCCGATACCCCAGTTCCGAGCCGTGCAGGGCTTTGAAGGTATGCCTTTGGCCCTGTCAGGTAGATTGTCTTGACCTTGTTGTGTTGGATTCCTTGCAATTTTAGGTACGGGCACCGAATGCCGTTAGCCGTGGAATGCACTGCGGATCTGATTCGCTGTAAAATCCTGGATGCCTCCGGTTGGTCCTTCAGATACCCCAGTTCCAAGCCGCGCAGGGCTTTAAAAGTATGCCTTTGGCCCTGTCAGGAGATTGTCTTGACCTTGTTGTGTTGGTTTCCTTGTAATTTTAGGTACGGGCACCGAATGCCGTTAGCCGTGGAATGCACTGCGGATCTGATTCGCTGTAAAATCCTGGATGCCTCCGGTAGTCTGAAGTCCCACGAACTGGTCCTCACATATGGGCTGGCACTTGTGAGGTGAGAGATGCGGGCCTGGGAGAGGGAGGGAGGGAGAGCACTGCAGGAGAAGAGGGCCAAGCCGGCAGTGGAGCTTCGCTTTTCACAGGAGCTGCACTGTGGTAGCTTCCACGCAGCATCCTCTGGGAGCCAAAACCGTAGAATCTCTTGCAGGTTCAGAGTTCATCTGGCCCTAGATGTCCTCTGCTGACTTTCTGATTCTGTGGCACCAAGGCTACTTGGGCTATGGTGGCAGGAAGTGCTGTCAGGTCACAGCCAACTTATGGGGACCCCCCCATGGGGTTTTCAAGGCAAGTGGGGACGCACCGAGGTCGTTTGGTCACTGCCCGTCTCTGCGTGGCAACCGTGGACTTCCTCAGTGGTGTCCCATCCGAGTATTAACCAGGACTGATTCTGCTTAGCTTCCGAGATCTGAGATCAGGCTAGCCTGGGTCATTCTGGTCGGGGCGCAAAAAAATTTTGAAATCTTGGTCAGCTGGGATTTTTTGCCAGGACAAACTCGGCTTTGCCCCGCCTCGGTTTCCATACCCTTTTGAGACTCATCTGTGATATTCTAGAGCTGGCCTCCATCCGCTTCCCTCCTTGTGGCTTTCTTTCAGCACACATATGGTACCTACTGACTGTTTTAGAGGGGCGGTTTAATAGAATTCTCTATGGGAAAAGGCCTTGCCCCGACAGTGAAGGAGAAATTGAGACTGTAGATCACACTCGTCTACGCTGTCCCTTCTATCAAGATACTCTCATCCAGACCACCACTCCTCTGATCAATAGAATACCCGGAAGAACGAGCCTGGGATACGTTAGGTTACTCCTAGAAGACGGAAATCCAACAACTAAAACCTCAGTTGCAAAATTTTGTGCAACAGCGTATAAAATCCATCAGTTGCTTTCATTATCGGGGTTTATGTAAATAGGAGAAGAGATTGGATTTCTACCCCGCCCTTCACTACCCAAAGGAGTCTCAGAACGGCTTACAAACTCCTTTTCCCTTCCCCTCCCCACAACAGACACCCTGCGAGGCAGGTGGGCCTGGGAGAGCTCTTTCGAGGACAGCCCTTGAGAGAACAGCTCTGAAAAAAACTTATGGCTCACCCAAGGTCACGCCAGCAGCTGCATGTGGAGGAGTGGGGAATCCAACCCAGTTCTCCCAGATTAGAGGCCAGTCAGGCCGCGCACATAACCACTACACCAATATCATCCATTTATATGACTGTCTATTTATATTATTGTCTATTTTAATTTGTGTTACTTTTTTTACTATATAAATTTTAACCTTTTTTTGGGGGTAGTATTTTATCTAGGCTGGTCTTTGACCGTAGATTAAAAATTTTTGAATCTGTAGGTGTCCTAGAAATTACAATAGTTAGACATTGCTCTTGCACATAACATCTGTGAAATCTTGAGCGCAGCATGTGTGACGGTCACCTTTCCTTCTAATTATGCACAGGTTCGTGAATCTCATCACAGAACGGAAGCAGAAAATGGTCACCGTGTCTCTGAGACGGCTGGCTAAGGAGGTAGAGGGAATTCCAGCATCTTAAAAACTGCACCCGTTGCAGGGCCGCAGACGGCATCTAGCACAGTTGGCTTACCAGTCGTATTTTTGCCTGATGAGCTGCTTTGCGAAGGGCTCCAGCAAGGCACCCTACGTATATTTTCCAAATAAATAATACACAAGTTGCATGGGGTTTTGAGCTAGTCGTGGGTGTGGGGTGGACGTTTCTCCGCTGTGACCTTCGTTTCCGTTTGCTTCGTCTCAAAGTTGAGCCTCCCGGTTTGGATGGTGGACCTTCGTCATGACCTGACCCACGGCACCCTTCCCCAGCTGAGTGCTTGTCGGAAAGGTAAGTTCGGTGTCTGTCTTCTGCTGCCAGTTTCTGGATTTTTATTTGGGGTGGAGGCAGATAATTTTGCAGTTTTTTTTTTCCAACTGGAGAATTTCTGATACGAGGTACGTTGCCTGCCGTGTGCATATTTCCAGGTGGGCAGCCGTGTTGATCTGAAGCAACAGAACAAATTTAGAGTCCAGTGGCACCTTCAAGACCAACGAAGCTTTATTCAAGGTATGTGCTTTTGTGTGCAGGCACATGAAAGCTCATACCTTGAGTAAACCTTTGTTGGTCTTAAAGGTGCCTGACTGGACTCTAAATTTGTCATATGCGTGCATATCTTAATGCTTAGATTTCGCAAGTCTTTAGTCATTCCATTTTTTTCCAACCGAAAATCAACAGGGTGGCAAAGAGCACGAACATCCTGAGAAATGAGGCTTGTTATCAAGCCACTTTCAGCTTTCAAAAACAGTTATTTCTCTTGCGGCAGTGCTTTCTGTTCGATTGTCTTCAATTTGCTGCAGCATGCAGTTTTTTGAGATTCCCACTGGGTGGTGCTGTGGCATTAGAACCAGCTGAAGTAAAGGTAATGGTTTTCCTTGCTTGAAAGCCAGTCGAGTCCGACTCTAGGGTTGCGGTGCTCATCTCTGTTTCAAAGCCGAAGAGCTTCCTTAAGCATTCCTTTACAGGACAATGCTACAGCACACGTCTGATCGTCGCCGCCCACATTTCCCCACAGATATTCCACACCCACTGACAAGAGGAAAATTGGCCCAGACAGGCAGACAGATAGCAATAAAAGCCCATCTGTTCTCCAAAGAAACTTGAGAAACGTGATTTAAGAAAAGGTCCGTAGGACCATCTTCTCCCATAGGTTCCGGCCTGGGAATTAAGATCACACAAGGGAGGCCCCTCCTGACTGGCCTGTCAATCAAAGAAGCTTGTCTGGTAGGCACGGATGGCCTTTTTGGTGGCAGCCCCACGATTACTGAACAGCCTGCCCAGGGAGGTGCTCCTGGCCCCCTCACTTTCCATCTTCAGGAGGCAGTTGAAGATGGTTCTGTTTGGGACTGTGTTTGATTAAAGCAGTCCTGCATTGTGATTTTAAATTCCGGTTTTATGTATTTTATGAATATTGTAAGCTGCCTTGAGCTCCGTAAGGAAAAAAGGCGGCTAATAAATATTTTCAATAAACAAATGAGTAGAAAGCAGTTCTAAGACTTGTCTTGGCCCCCTTTCTGTTGGCCAGGGGTGAGCAGGGGTCTGTTTAAACCAGTGCCGTCACTTCCTGCCTGCAGGGTGTGTTGCCGGCCTGGAATGGCTCCGACGCACGTACTGGAGCCGTCAGTTGGGCAATAACCTTGCTGGAGAATGCGAGGAGGAGGAGGAGGAGTCACCCACCACTGATATCGATGCCGAGGCAGACAGCAGCCCGGAGGAGCCCAATAAACTGAAGCTGCACGTCCGTCAGAAGCACCAAGAGCTTTTGGGTGAGTGAAATGTACTCTCTTACTTTTTCGCTGATGTGTTTTTTGGCCAACGCCTTTCCTAAGATTAACCTAAGGTCTGACTTCGTGCTTACGTGCACCAGACTCTCCCGCCAGTCTTTTCCTTCTAGCTTCTCAAGGTGCCACCAGGTGAATGGGTAGGCTTAGCAGCTCCTCCTTCCATGTGCTTTCTCAGTGGTGGTGCCCACCAGTGTTTCCTCTAAGCTGAGTTAGTGTGAGCTAGCTCACAGTTTTTTAGCCTCTGGCTCACACATTTTGTCTTGGCTCAGGAAGGAGGGCTCCAGAGCAAACTAACTGATGCAGTAGCCAAATCGCTCGCTCACAACTTTAATGCCGGCAGCTCAAAAAGTAGAATTTTTGCTCACAAGACTCCACCGCTTCGAGGGAGCACTGGTGCCTGCCTCCGTGCTCTGATCTGATTGTCTGTGTGTCAGTGTGGAATTTTTAGAAGTTGCTTCTCTAACAGCTGCCGCCCCCCAGTCACGGATCTTCACCACATCACTGTGTGTGTACGTGAGGAAATATTTTTAAAGGATACGTCCATTTTGAAGGTCATCCCGTAAGCAGAGCTTCTGCCTGAAAGGTTGAGGAGTTAGGGTTAGAGCCATGCAAGGTCTCGCTCCGTGGCCTTTTGTAGTTGGCTCCACCTTCTGCAGTGGCCATTTTCGAGTTGCACCGCCCCCCCTGTTTCAGAATTCCAGTGGCGCTTCCTGGGGATCCCTGCTCTATAGCGTAGCTCCAACAATTTTTAATTCTGTTTCATCCTTCTTGACGTGAAACTGGAATGACCCATCTGTCATGGCCTGTGCAGGACTGGGAGCAGGGCCTGGTGCGGCCTGGTCCCAGGAGAGACCTGCGTGGCAGTGAAAACAGACAGCCTACAATCCTCCTAAGACTTAGCAACGGGCTATAGCCAATGGGAGTTAAAAGAGTCTGTGAGGAGATTCTAGTTTAGCTGTGAGCTGTGGAAAATGGTGGTCTTCCCTCTCACAGAGCTAAACTGAAGGGACTGTGATAAACTGTGTGTTGTGAGGAGACAATTCTTGCTGGCTCTCTGCGGTTTTCCCTCTCACGGAGTCACTGAAGGGGGAAAGGCTGGTCTGAGAGGAAAGGACTCCTCAACTGAGAGCAGAGTGTGTGTGCAGGCAAAGAGGCCTGGTAGGAAGGCTGTAGGCCTTAAGAAAAAAAAAAGGTAAAGGTTTCCCTTGCTCGAAAGCCAGTCGAGTCCGACTCTAGGGTTGCGGTGCTCATCTCTGTTTCCAAGCCGAAGAGCCAGCGCTGTCCGAAGACGTTTCCGTGGTCATGTGGCCGGCATGACTAAACACCAAGGCGCACGGAACGCCTTAAGAAGGAACTAGTGAAGTGACGGCGCACGGAACGCCTTAAGAAGGAACTACGGTAGTTAAGTGGCGAGGGAGTCGCGTTAGGATTCTGTTTACTTTGCCTTTTCAACGCTGTTATGTGTGTTAAAGCACCTTGTCTTGTCTTGTTTTCCCCTTGGCCAGGACTGTAAAAATAAACCCTTCCTGTTTCACTGTTTCTCTGCCTTGGTCAATCACGCTCCTGTTTTCTCGGCTGTAAAATGGACCTTTTGGATGGGCTTGAGAGGGTACCCTGGGCCTTCTCAAGGGACCATAAGTCCAGGGTGGCGGCGGCGGAAGGTGGAGACCCCCCTGGGGTCATGACACCATCATCCGATACCTTGGTGGTTGTTGTTTTCTAAATCTAATGACGACAACGTTGGGGTCTGTTTAAGCACAATGTTTGGATCGGAAGACGTTTCCGTGGTCATGTGGCCGGCATGACTAAACACCAAGGCACACGGAACGCTGTTACCTTCCCACCGAAGTGGTACTTGCAATTTCTTGCTTTCGAACTGCTAGGTTGGCAGGAGCTGGAACTAGAGACGGGAGCTCACTCCGTCTTGTGGCACCTGGGTCTCGAACTGCTGAACTACTGACCTTCCACAGCCTGCAGTTCAGCGTCTTAACCACTTGAGCCATCGCAGTGACTCAGTACTGTAGGGGAAGGTAAAACATCAGTTCACCACCATCCACCAGTCCTGCAGTGCCTCTTGGGATAACTTAACTATACCTTTAGAAATATAATTTGAAAATTACTTAGAACAATTCTAAAATGAATTGCATGTAAAAGTAAGACAGCCGCTAAATGGATAAAAATCCTGCTTCAGAGTGAAAGGCACTGAGCCCCTCAGTGGGATTGCCCTGGCAAGAGATGTTCAGACGTCACTTGCGCTTGCCTGCCTCTGCGTGGTGACCCCGGGCTTCCTTGGTGGTCTTCCAGCCAAGTACTGACCAGGTCCAGTCCTGCTTCGCTTCTGGGGTCTGATGAGATTGGGGTAGCCTGGGCCATCCAGGCAGGGCTGCCAGATCCCCCAGGGGGGCGGGAGTTTGCCCACTCTAGAAGCCCCCCAAAGTGCCGGAATCAGGCCGACGTGCCTGGTGCGATGACGTCCACTCCGGGCACGTTGTCAGGGGGACGCTCTAGAGTTCGGCATTAAAACTCTATGGTACCATAGAGTTTTAAAGCCAAATGCTAGAGCGTCTGATGGTGTGCCCGGCGCGATGATGTCACTTCCGGGTGATGTCATTGCGGTGTGTGCGCACGTGAAACTCCCGGACATGGAGCTTCCAACCCCGGCCGGATGCCAGGTTCCTGCTGGCAACCCTACGTCCCGGTCACGGCAGAAGACATACAGAGGTGGCTTGGCCATTGCATGCCTGAGCATACGAACCTTGGACTTCCTGGGTGGTCTCCCATCCAAGTACTAACCAGGGCCGACCCTGCTTCGCTTCTGAGATCTGAAAAGCTTGGGTTAGTCTGGGCCGGTTAGGCCACTGTCAGGCTTCTTGGATCCATAAGACCAGGGGTCATTTAGTAGAAAAAGTGCTTCGCTTCTGAGATCTGAAAAGCTTGGGTTAGTCTGGGCCGTTTAGGCCACTGTCAGGCTTCTTGGATCCATAAGACCAGGGGTCATTTAGTAGAAAAAGAGGTACAGGACCTCATTAGCATGACTCATTAGCATAACTTATTTGCATATGCCACACCCCCTGACACCACCGGAAGTGTGTCAGAAGGCAACACCCACCACTCAGGCTCCACTGGACTGTTTTGGATTGCTAGCTATGGGGAGGGTGGGGATGCGCAGATCTGCCCTCACAGAGGAGGGAGAGCTTATACCTAAATAAACCTTGGTCTTAAAGGTGCCACTGGACTGTTTGGGATTGCTAGCTATGGGGGGGGGGGAAGGGGAGAAGTTGTCCTAAAAAAAAAG